GTGGGGGGCTTCTCCTCTTGTCTCCCACGGGTGCTCTGGCTGTGAATCCATCCAGGGGCCAGGATGACAATCCGACACCAAGGCCAGCAGTACAGGCCGAGGATGGCCTTTCTCCAAAAGGTAACCCCGGCCCCTCACCTGGGCCCCGGCAGGCGGCGGGGGACCCCCGTCTGGGAAGCGTCCGAGGACACGCGGGGCAGGAGTGCGGGGCCCCCCTTTGGGTGGATTTGAGCTGCTTTTTCATTAAGAGACTTGTGTGAGTTGCGATAAAGACAATCCCTTTTAGGTTTCCAAGCTGTGTCCTGGGCCTGGAGACTGGGACAGAGATCGGGCCGCCCCAGCTCCGAGTCACACAAGGTAACCCAGACAGCCACCTACGAATTTAAAGCTCCTATACGTTGCCCTTTCTGGATCCAACGTGTGATATTTGAAAGTTAAAAACGTATCTTACACACATAGATCTTAAAATGTATCTCACACCACAGCCTACTCACAGCTGCAAAGGCAGTGGTCAGGGTCTTCCATTGCTTGGGGTCCCTGGCTGGATTTGAGGTTAAATATCAGGGTTTCCCGTCCCACGATCTCATTCTACACCACGTGCTCTCTGTCAGCCAGGCAGCCAAAGTGGACTTGCAGCCTGGCATCTGCTGGGCACTGCTCGAGGTACCAGACACACAGTGGTGAGCAAAACAAGCATGGCCCCTGTCCTCGAAGTCCCTGGAGGCTAAGTGACTCACACAAGTGCAGCTTAACAGTGCCCAGACTTTAGGGATGGGGGCCGATGGAGGACTGGGCCCACCACAAGGTACCTTAGGGTGCCCCCAGTCAAATATATCTACTTTCTTTTTGTTTGAGTTGGAGTCTCACTCTGTTGCCTAGACTGGAATGCAGTAGTGTGATCTCAGCTCACTGCAACCTCTGCCTCCCAGGTTCAAGTGACTCTCCTGCTTCAGCCTCCCAAGTAGCTGGGATTACAGGTGCATGCTGCCACACCTGAGTAATTTTTGTATTATGGTAGAGGTGGGGTTTCATCATGTTGGCCAGGCTGGTCTTGAACTCCTGACCTCAAGTGATCCACCTCCCAAAGTGCTGGGAGTACAGACATGAGCCACTGTGCCTGGCCAGGAGAAACATAAAATTAAGACTGTAGTGAGAAGGAGCTTCTGATTCTACGTGAAGAGTGGGGGTAGTTGTCACAGAAGAGAGAGCCTTGAAGTGTGGAGGATGTTGAGGCTTCTGCTGGGCAGAGGAAGGAAGACCCCGGGCTCAGAAGCAGCCCCTGTTAAAGCCCAGAGATGTATGAGTCTGGTGTGTCTGAGGGCACATGGATTGCGGTTTGCTGAGATTATGGTATACGGGGAATATGAGGTGGGACAGGCAGGCAGGGACGAATAGGAAAGTCTCCTATGCCTTACGAAGGTGGTGCTATTTTCCCCCAAAGAGCAGGTGTGGTCAAATTTAGGTTTAAACGAGCACTCTAACGTAAGCCAGGGGAATGGATGGAATGTATTCTCTTCCCTGAACTAAGAGAATTCACTCAGGGTCTTTCTGTGATGCCTGAAACTCCAGTCACCTAGATGATGACACCTTTTCATGGGGTCAGAGGGAGTGGTGCTGGTCAGAAGGGCCCCTCCTCTGGGATTGCTGAGGCTTTCACACCTATGTCTCCATCCCAGGCTTGATGCAGCCCTATGTGGGCATGTCTACCAGCCAAGCTGATGCCCACCTCTGATGCCTGGACTTGTTTAAAATGTGGTGGAGGCTGGGCATGGTGGCTCATGCCTATGATCCCAGTACTTTGGAAGGCTGAGGTGGGAGGATGGCTTAAGCCCAGGAGTTTGAGGCCAGACTGGGCAACAGAGTAAGAAACTGCCTCTACAAAAAAATTTTAAAAATTAGCCAGATGTGGTGGTGCATACCTGTAGTCCCAGGTACTTAAGCTGAGGTTGGAGGATCGCTCGAGTCTAGGAGGTCCTGGCTGCAGTGCACTGTGATTGCACCATGCACCATTGCACTCCAGTCTGGGTGACAGAGTGAAATACTGTCTCAAAACTACATACATAGAATTTTTTTTTAATGCGGTAGAAGGAGATTAAGAATTCCCCTGTCCAGCGGCTGTGCCTGGGGGTGTTAGCTGGTGACACACCACACAGTGAACTAAACAGCAGGGCAGGGGGGAAGCTGCTGTGGTCTCCAGCACCCGCTGGGCTTTTTTTGTTTGTTTGTTTTTTGACAGAGTCTCAGTCTGTCACCGGGCTGGTGCGCAGTGGCGCAATCTCAGCTTACTGCAACCTCCACCTCCCAGGTTCAAGTGATTCTCCTGCCTCTGCCTCCCGAGTAGCTGAGACTACAGGCGCACACCACCACGCCCAGCTAATTTTTGTATATTTAGTAGAGACAGGGTTTCACTATGTTAGCTAGGATGGTCTCAATCTCTTGACCTCTTGATCTGCCCACCTCCGTCTCCCAAAGTGATGGAATTACGGGCATAAGCTATTGTGCCCGGCCACCAGCAGGGCTCTTGTTTCAGTCTAGCTCTTCATTTCCTGTGTTTTGGCAGCCCTGACCACCTAGGAGTGAAGTGGAAAAAAATCCTATCTGGAGTTCTAAAATGCTTTCCTAGTTGACTTAAGGAAGAGTTGAGGATGTGAGGGTGTTCTTGGGGCAGATGGGGTGCCAGGAAGAGAGTTGAGCTAAGACGAGGGCTACAGGAAGGCAGGATCTTAATGAGGCTTGGGCAAAATTTAGAATTGTTTATATCATTTGTTCACTCCTCCATGTAACAGACACTTATTGAGCACCTACTATGTGTCAGATATTGATAGACACTGATAACACAGACTTCAGGACACAGTCCCTGTTCTCAAGTGACTTGTAGTCTAGTGGTAGGAGATGGCCATGAATATCAATGCAGACAGCTGGAAGGTAACAGCGGTGCTTAAGTGTGGGCCTTTTCTTTATCCTGGGTAGAATGCCAAGAAAGCATTCTGAAAGATATGGTGGTGGTTTAGCTGGGTCTTGGGAATGTGAGGGTGTTCTTGGCGCAGATGGGGTGCCAGGAAGGGAGTTGGGACAAAGGTGAAGGAGGAACATGAACTTGGCTGTGGATCTACTGTGTGTCGGTTGTTGGTCAGAGCCAGATGGTGATGTCCAGCAGGCAATTCTGTATCTGGAAGGCAGGGCTTGAGAAACTCTGGAGACACATCAAACTGGCCATTGAGAATGTAACAGAAACGAGGGATGTTTCTGAGGCAGGGCACAGTTAACAGGGCATATTAGACTTGGGCATTTGGACTGTGGCTGGCAGTGCTGTAGTTGGGATGTGAGTTGCCTACCAAAAAAAAAAAAAAAAAAAAAAAAAAAGAGTGCAATGGCTTGTGTTGGAAACAGGTTTATAATGTTGGTAAGAGTCCACACGAAGACAATGGATCACGCAGCAAGGCTAGTTTACTTCCTGCAGGCAGGGGGCAACTCGCTGACAGTCTCGCCATGAGAGCACACCTGGACAAAGGAGACAGGGACATTTATTACTTTCATAACCTGACGCAATCGCCCTACTGCTGTGTCCAGTTTCCATTGGCCGGAACAGGACCTCACATGCTATGCTTGATCTGATTGGCTAAAAAATCTGAAAATTTCCCGAATAGATAAGGGGAACGATGACAAGGAAAAAGAGGAGGCTAATCAGGAGAAGGCCAGGAGGGTTTCCAAATAAGGGATGGCATGCACCGGGGTGTGGAACTTGCCTATTCCTGTTCAGACAGGCCCGATCAAGTCTAGGTAGCTGATTTAAGAAGTATCCGATTTAGAGAGTATATATACATGAGTATATGCTTATGCTAATAGCAGATAATGGCCATAGAGCAAGAGATTGTAACTCCTTATAATGCAGTCTAAGATAGAAACTTTGAAGAAGAACTTTCCAATTTCTCACAGTTTGGGGTCACTATTTACATCTCTGCATAGCAAACACATAATTATGTTTGTCTTCCAGGAAGCCTTCTCTGAATTATAGGAAAATTTCAGTCCCTGAGATCTTGTAGTGACAGCCACTTACTATGAGAAGAAATCTTGACCATGGGGTGGATGAGGTATTGAGGCTATCACTCTCTGATACTTTTAGTGACTGTCTGGGTTCTTTAAAATGTTCAATGTCATACCTCACTTAGCTGGAATCTGAGACGGCAAATGCCAGGGCTGTGGTGGGGTCAGAGAGGGTCCAGTGATGACTCCCCCGACCTTTTTTTTTTTTTTTTGATAAAGTGAAGTGGCACGATCTTGGCTCACTGCAACCTCCACCCCTGGGTTCAAGCTATTCTCCTGCCTCAGGCCCCTGAGTACCTGGGATTATAGTACCTGCCACCATATCTGGCTAATTTTTGTGTTTTCAGTAGAGATGGGGTTTTGCCATGTTGGCCAGGCTGGTCTTGAACTCCTGACCTCAGGTGATCCACCCGCCTTGGCCTCCCAAAGTGCTGGGATAACAGACATGAGTCACTGTGCCCTGCCCAGTGATGACCCTTTTGTGCAGCATTGGCTTCAGGCCTCAGGAAATAGTTGTGGAGAAGTCAGGATTCTGAGAGAACTGGGCAGCTGTGGTCTGGTCAACAGTGGTGGGGTGGGGTTGTGGAGGTGATGGTATAGGGAAAGACCAGGGGGTCTTCAATGTGTCTCACAAAAGGAGATGCCTCAGAAGGGATGCAGGCTGGACAGAAAGAGAAGGGGGAGCCTAGAGAAAGGCCACAGCTACACCCTTCCTGGAGAGCTTGAAAACCAGGGTGGATTTTCTCGTCATGAGTGGACACCAAGACCACCTCTCTAAGACCATCCCAGACCCACAGAGTCAGTCATATTTTTTTGTATTTTAGATTTACTACAATTTAAAAAGGAATCCCTTAAGTGAATTTACATGGAAAGAGGTCAGAGGAAAATTATTCTGTCCCCCAATGGGAAGACCTCTAAAGATGTTCACGACACAGATTTCCCTCTTTCCAGCAAATCCCTCCTTTGCGCGAAGTGAGACTCCATCGCTGGAAAGCCATCTGCCCCTCTTGATTGTGCTTTTAGGAATAACTCCTGTTAATCTCCTTTGAAGGTTAGTTGCAAATTCTTCAGAGATTTTTTTTTTTTTTAAACACAAAGGGAAAGAAATGGAGTGGTTGTCATTTTTATCAGAGAAGTTTAAATTTCTAACTGGCAAAACAGGTACCACTCCTCCATCTGCTGTTTTTCTCCCTCTAGCTCGCTACTAAGGAGATGGTTGTTTCACCTGATGAAGTAGAGTATTTATAACCTGAAAGGTTATGACTGAAAGGATGAGGATGCTTTAAGCCCTGTCATCAGAAACTAGCGTAACAGCGTGTGTGTGTGTGTGTGTGTGTGTGTGTGTGTGTGTGTGTGTGTATGTGTGTGTGTGTTTTGGGGAGGAGGGGCACTGGCTGCTGCTAAAAAGCATCACTCCAGAGGCTGTGGCTCCTCATCCCCTGGCCATCCCCAGGAGGAGCAGGACCACCTCCCAGCATCCCCCAATACCGTTTGGGGTTGTGTCTTTGCCTCCCTCTTTGCTGTTAGCTTCATGGCTGACCCAGTGGCCAGAAACACTGCCAGGCCCTGACATTGCAGAAAGCCAAGGACTGTGGCTCCAAATCAAGCTGAAATGAATAGCTTTTGTTCCAAAACAATGCTGTGAGCCAAGAAAGTGTCCATGCAAATAAAGCTTGCAGTCAGTCTTGCACAAGGAGCCCCAGCCATGTTTTGCATGCTGAGTCGCTGGCGCGGTGCCCAGAGTGCTGAGTGGTGAGGCTCTCCTTGGAGCCTTCCCTGTGCACCTGATCTTGGCCCACGTCTTGAGATTGTGGTTCAGCTGCGAATGCTTGTTTAGCAACAGAGATTGAAATAGGAAATCCCTTTCCTTAGTGTTGGCATAAGACATTGTTCCATCCTCTTTCCCGCCTTGGGAAGATTGGAGCCTTCTAGCTTCAGGAGCAGGCTGGCTGAGAGGCAGGGGGCAAGTAGGATTTTTTCTGATTCAGCTCTCTTCTGATATTTCCAGGTTAGTCTACACCTCCATCCTGTCTACCTGGCCATATCATGGATTCCTTCCCAAGTTCACTTCCTCTAGGAAGCATTCATTGACCGTCGGTTTTAGTTGCTTTTCTATGGATACAACAGAATGCTTGAGACGGGCTAATTTAAAAAGAAAAGAAGCTTATTTGGCTCCTGGTTACAGAAGCTAGGAAGACCAAGGGCATGGTGACAGCTTCTGGCAAGGTATTTTATACTGCACTATAACACGGCAGAAATGTGGAAGGGCAAGTGAGTGCATGCAAGAGACCTCAGGGCACTAACTCAGTCCCTTGGAAATGATCTCACTCACAATCAGCATTAATCCATTTATGAGGCTCTACCCTTATTACCTAATTCCCTTTTAAAAGGCCCCACCTCTCAATACTGTTACATTAGCAACTAAGTTCCCAACACATGGACTTTTCGGGGACACACTGAAACCCATAGAAGCATCCTATTATCATGGTCCCTTTTCAGCTCCTGTGCATTTAGGATCCTTATAATTCACATGAGACACACTTTTTTTTTAGACAGAATTTCACTCTTGTTGCCCAGGCTGGAGTGCAATGGCATAAACTCTGCTCAGGACACCCTCCACCTCCCAGGTTTAAGTGATTCTCCTGATTATTTCCCTCGGATACAGAAAGGTTTGCTCCTCCTTTTATTCTACTTGGTCATACCATGGGTTCCCTTCCAAGTTCACTTCCTCTAGCAAGTATTCTTTCATCGTTTGTCTTATTCCATTTTCTATGGCTCTAATAGAATACCCGAGACTGGGTAGTTTACAAAGAAAAGAAGCTTATTTGGCTCACAGTTACGGAGGCTGGGAAGTCCAAGGGCATGGCTATAACCAACTCATGATCTTTTGTCTCTGCACGCCTCCTTTTTGCCACCATCTACAATTTTGCAAAACAACTCAAACACTGCTGCTCTTCCATGAGAGCTTCCATTTGTCTATGAATAACGGTGAAGATCTATTGTGTCCTGAATCGATTTGCTCTCCCCATGCATACCATGCAGTTTTACCCATTCATGCCTTTGCTTGTTCCTCAGTCTGGAATACTCCTTTCCTCCATAGCAGAAGCAATAACTTCTTGCCAAATAGCCCATGTTCTCTGAGTTAGGATTAATGGGCCATGAGCAGAAGTGTGCAGGCTTTCAGGCTGAAGCTTTGATGGGCAGGTACGAACTCTCTATGATTTCTCTTTTCCCCTGCACAGTGATAGATGGAATGAGAAACCACAAATCGTAGCAGCCAAGACAGCTGAGTCAAGACATCAAGGAAGGTCCCTGGATGTGGCCCAACTTGACTTAGTATTTTCTTAAGAGAGATAAACCTTTGTTGGGTTAAACCTGCATTATCACAGCATAATCAAAACTCTCCTGACTACATTCTCATTTTCTGCCGGTTAAAAATCTTCATCTTTTAAGTATCAGCTTAAATACTCTTTCTTTAAAAGCCTTCCAGAACCAGCCCACCCCCAGTCAGAATTGATGTCTTTTCTTTGGGCTTTCACAGCCTGTGTAACTTATGTCTATCTGACACTGAACGCCTGGAATTACGGTCAGTCATGTAGGGTTAGTAACAGAATGAATAGGAGTATGCATTCCAAAGCCAGACTGACTGGTTCACATATCAGCTCTGTCATTTACCAGCAGTGGGACTTTTGATGAGTTACTTAGACTTCCAGAACTTGGGTTCACATTTGTCCCTCAAGAACCTACCAGAGCATCCGTCATGATAATTATATTAAAATATGTCAATAATTATGTTAAATAGTATCTGTTACCAGTCTCCTTCTTTTTTTTGTCTTGCAGGTTGAAACCAGTAAAAAAAAAAACATGCAGAAAAAAAGATGGGGACCGAAATCCAAAGCCAGAGGGTCCTGAAAATCAGAGGGTGTTACAACATAACAGGTGGTTACAGGCCATGGCTCAGGCTAGGCCTGGAATAGACTGTGGTTCTCTTCTACAAATCAATCCAGACTGGACGGACAGAACTCCAAGGGAGGAAGGAAAAATGAATCTGATGTTACTTCTGGAAACCACATTTTCTGAAGTCACCATTTTTATATATCTATCAACTCATCATTTTTATGTATCTATCAATATGATTTTCTGATCTTATTTCTTCCTACTAATGTGATGAATTACCTTGATTGATTTTAGAATATTAAATCACTTTTGTATTCCTGGAATAAACCCTAAATGGATGTTTGATTTTTGCTAATTCCTTAGCAAAAATGCTAACATTTTATTTAGGATTTTGCATCTATATTCACAAATGAGGGTCTTTTTCCTCTCTTGACATCAACCAATTCTCCAGTTCTCTAACACAAACTGAGTGTCCTGCAATTCAATTCAACTTTTGACACTAACTACCCAGGGTTGGAATTAGCCTCCACAGATTTAAGGGCTCAGTCCCACGAGACTGTCCCAATCAGACTCCAGTTGCGAGTCCTAGGTCAACCCATCCTTTTGGGCAACGATTAGAGGAACTCAGGAAAGTGCTTAACTTAATATTACTGGGTTATTACAAAGGATAAAATTCAGGAAGAGCCAAATGGAAGCCATGCATAGAGCAAGGCAAGGGAGAATGAACACAAAGCCTCCTTCACCTCTCCGGGCACACCCCTCTCCCAGCACCTTGATGTGTTCACCAACCTGGAAGCCCTCTGAACCCCATCATTTAGAGGTTTTAATGGAAGTTTCACTACACAGGCATGGAGATGGAGTCTTACTCTGTCGCCCAGGCTGGAGTGCAGTGATGCCATCTTGGCTCACTGCAACCTCCATCTCCCGAGTTCAAGCGATTCTCTTGCCTCAGCCTCCCGAGTAGTTGGGATTAGAGGCGGGTACCACCATGCCCAGATAATTGTATTTTTCGTAGAGACAGGGTTTCACCATGTTGGCCAGGCTGCTCTTGTACTCCTGACCTCAGGCAATCCACCTGCCATTGGCCAGGCTGGTCTCGAACTCCAGACCTGAAGTGATCCTCTCGCCTTGGCCTCCCAAAGTGCTGGGATTACAGGCATGAGCCCTACATAGCCATGGTTGATTAAATCATTGAACGCTGGTGATTACTTCAATCTCTAGCCCCTTGTCCCTCTCTCCTTCCCAGAAGTCAGTGGGTGGGGCTAAAAGTTCCAACCCTATAATCATGCCTAGTTCTTCTTTTTTTATACATGCAATTTTGACTTATTTCTGTGTAATATAAATTATTACTCTTATCAGTTCCTGAAACATTTAAAACTTTAGGAAACTTTAGTTTCATTTATCCCCTTCCTCATTTTGTGTTGCTGTTATGCATCTTTAGTTCTACACATATATTTAAATTCCATAAGACATTGTAACTATTGAGTTGGGAATAAACATTCATTAATAATCATCTAGATATTCATCCATTCTGTTTTTTTGTTTTTTCATTTGCTTGTTTTTTCTTTTCTTTTCTTTCTTTTTTTTTTTTTTTTTTTGAGGGACAGGGTTTTGCTCTTTGCTTTATCCCCAAGGCTGGACTGGTGTGGTAGCACAATCATGGCTCATTGCAGCCTTGGCCTCCGGGGCTCAAGCAATCTTTCCGCTTCAGCCACCTGAGTGGCTGGGAATACAGGCATGTGCCATTATGCCTGGTTACATCTTTTAATTTTTGTAGAGATGAGGTCTCACTATGTTGACCAGGCTGGTCTTAAACTCCAACTTTGGCATCCCAAAGTGCTGGGATTAGAGGCACTCCTGGCCTATATACATATATATATATATATATATATATATATATATATATATATATATATTTTTTATTGAAATATGATATTCACTCTGAAAAGAAAATATGTACAGATCAATACATTTTCACAAACAGAATGTTTTACATATATTTTAAAACATTAAATTCTGTTTAAAGAACCAAAATTTTGTATTTTAAGAACACATTACTTAGTGTTCAGCAGATGGTCCCCTGAGGAAATGTGTGACTTCACACCACGGGCTGTCTTTGTCAGCCCTCCCAGATTGCCCCATCTGTGACTTGATTTTTTTTTTCTCCTTGTCAAGGTATCCTCCTCAACTCAATTCACCTCTGCTTCAGGCCAATCAAGCTAGGGCCCTTTTGTCAACCTTCTGGCTTCCTTTGCCCTGAGGGAGGGAAGCCTTTCTTCACAACCCCAATCAGCTTCTCTTTCTGCACATTACTCGTCTGGAGGCTTGCTGTCATTTGTGGATGAGACATGGCCTGGCCATGGGGGCAGTGCCTCCCTTTGACCGCACCATTTGTTGGCTGTGCTTTAGCATCCTGTGGAGATTACAACTGAAAAGGCTGGAGACACTGATGACCGGTCCAGCAACAACAGCTTGAGCTGTATGAGAGGAAAGACTGAAAATTACAATAACAGTCATTACTGGGGAAGCTGAGGCAGGAGGATCGTTTGAGCCCAGGAGTTCATGACAGCCTGGATAATAGCAAGACCCTGCCTCATTACATAATAATAATAATAAACTGAATTATGGGGAAAAAAAAAGAAGTCAAAAAATATTTTTAGCAGTCACCATTCCTTAGGCATCTACTGTCAGGTGCTCTGCCAGAAACTTCTATGGAACATCTCATGAATACTCAAAACAATTCTGTGAAGAAATATAATTAATATCTGATATGGTTTGGCTGTGTCTTCACCCGAATCTCATCTTGAATTGTAGTTCCCATGATCTCCACATGTCACAGGAGGGACCCAGTGGGAAGTAATTTAGTCATGGGGGTGGTTACTCTCACGCTGTTCTCGTGAAAATGAGCCAGCTCTCATGAGATCTAATGGTTTTATAAGGGACTTTTCTCCTTTTGCTTGTCACTCCTCTTTCCTGCTGCCATGTGAAGAAGGTGTTTGCTCCCCCTTCCACCATGATTATAAATTCCCTGAGGCCTTATGAGCCACGTTGAACTGTGAGACAAACCTCTTTCCTTTATAAATTATCCAGTCTTGGGTATGTCTTTATTAGCAGTGTGAGGGTGGATTAATACGCTATCCAACTTCAAATCAGGAAGTGGAAGCTCAGGGAAGCAATTAGCCTAGGGTCACACATCAGTAAGTACAGAGAGTGTTTGGATCAGATTTAATCCATGCTCTTTGCTCTAGGTCCAGTCTCTTCTATGCATATCTCAGCTGCTGATATGCGACTCAGCTGTTCCCATTTTCCCTGGCAAAGCAGGAGCTGGAAAGGGCCTTAGAGGTCATCCAGGTCAATCATCTCATTTCACTGAGGAGGAAATTGAGACTTGCATCAGGTCAGTGGTCGTCATTCCCACCCATGTGCCATCCATACCCACGTGGTAGTGACTCCAAACTACACACATTTCTCCAAAGGCATCTGGGTGTTCCCACCTCTCTGCTTTTGCTAACAAGTGTCCCTCTGCTGGACGTTCCCTTTCTCCTCATTTCACACTGTGAATGATCTTTTCAGCTTTCCAGGTTCACTCCAAGCATAATTTCTCTCACAATTTCCTGAGTATCTGCAGGCTACACTCAGCAATTTCTTCTGTGCAGAGGAGACAGGCCTGAGGCTGCTATTCTTAGAAAGTCCTTCTTTCAAGGTTGGCCCTTCCAAGGCTGGCATGTAGAAGCTTGGATTTCAGGAGAGTTCCCATGATTCCCTGATAAGAGTGGCTTATTAAGCCTGGGCTGCTTGGGCAAACAGTATGGCTTATGTGGAACCTGCTTTCCTTCTGGGAGTCTGGAATCTTGGTGCATGTAGGCAGAGGTTGTCTAAATGACCAGCCCCCAGCAAAACTTCGGATTCTGAGTCTCTAATGAGCTTCCCTGATCATAGACAACATCTCACACTTGTCACAGTGCATTGCTGGAAGAATTAAACGTGTGCTGTGTGATTCCACTGAGAGGCTCTTGGAAGCTTGCCCCTGGTGGCTTCCAGACTTTGCCCCATGTGCCTTTTCCCTTTGCTAATTTTGCTTTGTATCCTTTCACGGTAATAAGTTACAGCCATGCTGATGGCTATACTTTGGGTCCTGTGAGTCCTCCAAACAAATCACTGAACCTGAATCTTGAGTGGTCTCAGGGATCCCCAGCACACCTCCCATATGTTCTGCCATATGCTCAAATAAAGATTTCCTGCATTAACATCCAAATGTTGCAATGTTTTGGTTTATGAATCACTCACTCACACTGTCAAAAGCAAGTATGTTTTATTCTTCTTTTTATTTCAATAGCTTTTTGGGGAACAGGTGGTGTTTGGTTACATGGATAAGTTCTTTAGTGGCGATTTCTGAATTTTGGTGCACCCATCACCCGAGCAGGGAACACTGTACCCCATGTGTAGTCTTTTATCCCTCACTCACTCTCACCCTTCCCCTAGAGTCTCCAAAGTCCTTTGTATCATTCTTATGCCTTTGCATCTTCATAGCTTAGCCACTTTTATTTTTTTGAGACGGAGTCTCACTCTGTCGCCAAGGCTGGAGTGCAGTGGTGCAATCTCGGCTGACTGCAACCTCCACCTCCCGGGTTCGAGCAATTCTCTTGCCTCAGCCCCCTGAGTAGTTGGGATTACAGGTGCACACCACCATGCCCAGCTAATTTTTTTTTTTGAGACGGAGTTTCCCTTGTTACCCAGGCTGGAGTGCAATGGCACGATCTCGGCTCACCACAACCTCCGCCACCTAGGTTCAAGCAATTCTCCTGCCTCAGCCTCCCGAGTAGCAGGCACATGCCACCATGCCCAGCTAATTTTTGTATTTTTAGTAGAGACAGGGTTTCACCTCGTTGACTAGGATGCTCTTGATCTCTTGACCTTGTGATCCACCCGCCTCGGCCTCCCAAAGTGCTGGGATTACAGACGTGAGCCACCACGCCCGGCCAATTTTTATATTTTTAGTAGAGACAGGGTTTCACCATGTTGGTCAGGCTGGTTTCGAACTCTTGACCTCAAGTGATCCACCTCCCTCGGCCTCCCAAAGTGCTGGGATTACAGGTGTGAATGAACCACCACACCTGACCTATTTTTTAACCACAAAAATGAATTAACCAACTTGACAGATACATCCTTAGGCTGAAGACACCTGGTGTCATTGAACTTGGTTATCCATCTCCTTGTTCTGATTCCAAGCTCACTATATGTTTCAATATAAGAATGTAGTCTCCCACATAGATCTTCCTACAGGAAAGGAACACACTGTTGGCAAAAACAATGATCCAGTCTGACTGATGATTACATTTTTCACTAGAAAGGAATTAACTCACACTCCAGGTTTATACCTTGCCCTCTTTTAGTTTGGTTAGCGTGAGTGTGTCCTTGCTTTCCTCTGTGTGAACTAATGAAACCAGCTTTTTGGCCCTACAGAGTGAAGGACAGGATACTGGAACAGGACAGTCCATGGCATTGTTACCCATTCATCCCCAGTCAGGTCTTGTTGGAGACTGCAACAGTTTAGTAATATACCAGTGAGTCTATTTCTAGCTCTACTTGAAGAATGTTTGTGCCAAATAAGAGTTTCAATAACTAAGCTGTGTTGAATGATGTTCAAGACAATTGTTCTAAATTTTATTCTCTAATGTCCGAGCAAGGTTCCAATGCATATCAATGCAAATATACTATACATTTAAATGGTTTTTAGTTACCTTCTATTTATACAGTTAGAAAATGTTGCTCATATCTTATTAAAATAGGTCTATCTAGGAGACCATGAACAAATTTCTAGTTTTGTCATTAAGAATCTCTGAATGGGCTGGGCGCAGTGGCTAAGGCTGTAATCCCAG